TAGATAGATAGATAGATAGATAGATGCATGCTACATACATACTGGATAGATAGATAGATAGATAGATAGATAGATAGATAGATAGATAGATAGAGGTGCTTTTATTTGTGTGTATGTAGTATGTATGTGTATATATACACACACACATATATATACATATATATAAAATACCATTTGCTACCTAGGAAATATCCAACTCAAGAGTTTTGTTAGCTACATCTTGGGCTTCATAAGAACATAGGATGTTTTCAAGGAATATCTTAAAATATATTATTAATTAAATGGCTTCATATACATAGCCAACATATCTATCATTAGTTGTAGACTATAAATCATTTCTAAATAATTAGGGTACACTTGTTGACTAATATAATATATCCCCAGTAAGAGAGAAATGCAAAGTGATAACCTGTGGGTCTAACTAACTACTTGTGCTTCCAATGGCAAATTCTGTTTTCCCTTGTGCTGGCAAGAAGATTGACTGGCCTCTTTCTATCAGAGCTGTCCTGCTCTTCAAGGTAATAGGAAACACATTGCTGGAAGCAACAGGACATTCTATTGGAAAAATGCACACACTGGGAGAACACTTGGGAATCACAATAAAATAAAACATTTCTTTTTCTTTAGTAGGTCAGGAGGACCTGAAGGGTTTCAGCTGTAAAGCTGTAAAACTTGTAATGTGTCCAAGACTCCATAAATTTTTTCATCATGAGACCTGGAGCCAGAGGACATTTGATTTAAACAAGGATTTGGTGACCCCATGGCAGCTGGAAGTAAGAATGCGTAGAGGAAAATGTGATAGGCAGTAAGGTTGTGTGGAAGAAGGGTTCCAGAACACTATCCTCTCTCTGCATCTGTGTGGTAGCTCTCTTTAATCCAGGCCAGATGCTGGTCACATGAATACAAACGAGAAGCTACAAACTATTAGAGATAACCTACAGTAGTTCATCTAGTAAAAACTAAGTTATATATTAATTCACCGAAACCCATAAAGTACAGTTGAATAGACTATTTATAGAATAGTCACTTCCCTGGTGGCCTTGCAACAGTTTTTATGCATGCTGAAAGGACAGAATGAGTACCAGTAATACTATCTTTGAATAGTTTGTAGTATCATCTAACACTTCCCATTCAACTAGTTGTTGTATGTCCAACACCCCTTGGATACTCCATAAGCACAGTGAGGCCAGTATATTCAAGAGTCAACTCAAGTAGGCTCAGAACCCCACAGTATCATAGTCTTTTTGTTAATCATCTCTATCTTTTTAAATGTTTTTATTAATTATGTTTAGTTACCATTCAAAACAATGAGTTTCATTTCTACATGTGACATGTGGCTTGCTCATATTTTCTTACCACTTCTTCCCCACGTTCCCCCTTCACCTTTGATAGTTCACTTCCTCCACCTCTATCATCCTGCTTGTGCTTACATGACATAACACATACGTGACTATGTATATATGTATCTGTTGAAATCTAGAGTCTATATACACATAATGTTTTGTTTTTCTCAAGCCCCTTCCATAGATAGGAATTGTATTGCCTATCCAAGCAAATCAGCAGCCTTTGAGTCACTTGGTTTCTTTCCTGTACAGAATAAACTTAATCTTGTTTCCATACGTTTCTCCAGACTGGTCCTTCTCCATACTGGCAGCCTTTGTTTTAGTTTAGACCTTGGCATTCCCTTGATTAAGCCAATGCTGTGGATGCAGAATTCTTTCCAGCTCAGATCCATTATCTATTTAGCTTCAGAATCTGTTTTCTAGAACCATTTGTCCCCTTTTCAGAATCCTTCATAACCCTTCTCCTTAAAGGTTAAAAATGCAAATTCACAGCACAGCACCTATTATTTTGGCAACCAATATTCTTGGTGTCTTCCCACCCTCACTTTTACCTAGACCCCTGCTCAGGCTAAGAGACTGGCAAGGCCCCCACACCATCAGATCTCAGAGTCTTGGAGAAATATTATGGTCTGGAAAATTCTTCTCTTTTCCTCTGGCATCATCTTCAAAAATACCTGTTTGTCCTATAACTTTTCTTCCTTTATCAGATTTGTTTATGTCTCCTGACTTGCACTCTTCTGATGTATTTTGGAGGGGCTGCTTTGTATTCGTCTTCCTATGTCAATAAGAGCAAACCATAAACCATGAGTAAAAGCTAAGAGAATAAGGAATTTCCACCTCTCATGCAGTAGCGCTCTAACAATAGCAGGTGGTGACACACCCATTTTATTCACCATGAATCTCGGCTTCAGGATGGACTTACCAGAGGTTCTGCCCATGGTAACCTTGGACAAGAAATCGCATTTCTTTTCCTCCAGGCCAAAAGTTTTTTCCATTTTCTGTGTTCCTTCTAAGAGTCTATTTTTCCCCTAAGCTTTTATTGGAAAACATCTGGAATTAAATGAATATAAAGTTATTCTTAAATTGGATTATGTAAAATATTTAATGTATTCATACAAATTTGAAAATAAGCCAGGTAATTTAAGAAATATTAAAAAATGTAAAGAAAATCACGCTTTCACCAGTGATTCATAATGAAATAAATGTCTGTGTTTCTTTAATAAAAGACCTAAAGGTAGAGATTATCATTTTAAAATTTGTCTAGTTTAGCTGTTGGAGTTCACCTCAGCTTACACAGGTTGACTCCATATTTGACTGCTGTGAATGACAGACATGAGACAGCAGACATCTCTTCAAGGTCCTCATTCGCTTCATGTCCTTTGCTTGCATACCCAGATGGAGATTGTCGCATCATACAGCACATCATGGTACTTCTCTTTTCTCAACCTTCTGAGGAATTCTTTTCTGGTTGGTTGAGCCAGCACATACATCCACACTCAGCAGGCAGCCTCCCTTCTCAGCCTTTTCGCCAGCTTTGGCTTTCTCGGGTCTTTAGCCTTCATCTCAGTCAGTATGAGATGACAGGTGACCGTCGTGTTTGGTGCCGCTGGGTGTCTAAAGCCTGGCGGCCCTTTCCACATCCTCTGTGAAGAAGTGCCTTTTAGATCGTTGACCCATTTAACTGAGTCATTTATATTTTTTTGCTGTTCGGTTGTGTTTCTGATGTATTTTGGATATTGACTACTGATGGTTCTCTCCCATTCTCTGGGATGTTCTCTTTCTCCTGTTGAGTGTTTCCTTTGCTGTGTACAATATTTTTAGTCTAATATAATATCATCTTTTCATTTTGCTTTTGCTGCCTTTTCTTTTGAAGTACAGTTCCCAAAGTCATTGTTAAGACCAACTAATGTCATCAAGCTATTTCCAGTTTCTTCTAGCATGTTTATAGTTTTAGGATCTACATTAATTTTTGTGAAGGAAAGAGTATGAGCTGATTTTTGTATGATTTCTGTATGATTAGGGATATTGACCATACATGTCTGGGTTAATTTGTGGGCTTTCTATTCTGTTCCTCTGGTTTCTCTTTCTGTGTTCACACCAGTGCAATGCTGTTTTGATCACTGTACCACTGTAGCAGACTTTGAAATCAGGTTGTGTGATGCTTCTAGCTTTGTTGTTTGGGATTCAAGATTGCTTTGTCTACTCAAGTTTTCTGTTCTACATGAATTTTTGAATCATCTTTTATTTCTATGAAAGCTATCTTTGAGATTTTGATAAAGATGCATTGAATTTGTAGGTCATTTTGAATGAGGTAGTCTTGTAGACATTTTAACGTTATTCCTCCAATATATAGGCATGACATATTCTTCCAGTCATTTGTGTCTCGGTCAATTTGTTATCACAATATTTTACATTTTTTAGGGAATAGAACTTTTACTTTCTTAGTTACATTTACTCATCTTTCTCTCTAAAGAAGCATGTCTTCCAAAATATTTAAACTCCAAACATTGGTTATACAAGCAAATTTGGCCATGCTAGTGTGCTATGATGGGTAAGCATTCTAGAATTTACTGTGTTCCCCTGCTTACTGACTGTGTGACCTCTTGTATAATGCTTTATCTGCTTGAGCCTATTTACTCCTTCATAAAATGGTAACAGAATAGGACCACTCCCAATGGTGCCCCCATGGGGTATTAAATGAGATAATGTGTATAAAAGTAAATAGAATTAAATTACTTCCTTCCTGTCTTTTTGAAATGCTTTTAACTGCCAGTCAACAAATCACAATGCATGCTCTACACAATAGCAGAAAGTTTCTTCTCTAAAGATGGTCACAGGCTGATCAGTTTACAACTGGTGTCCCAGCAACAATTTGGCAGGTGTGGCCTATAAAAGAAATAGATGTGAAAGTAGACTGTCCATGACATCTGCCAATATGTGAATCACTGGGGGTCACCAGTTGGGCTGTAAACCCTTCCTCCTGTGCCATATGTTTCTGCCCTGAAGCTGCAGATTTGGCAAATGGTTCTCACCCTCCCTGAAAGAGTCCACCCTTCTCAGAAGCTCTGATTTTTCTCTAATTTTGAAAGTACTGTGTTGGGATGTGTTTGGGGGTTGCCTGTTTGAAGAGTTTATGCAATGATCCAGATTAGATGAAAAGAAACACGAGGAACACTGAGCTCTGAATGTCAAGGGAGCACTCAGCCAGAGAGGAAAGGCTAGGCATATGCAGAGCTGAACACATACACTGGCCAGTGGAGGACAGTCATTTCCTGCAGAGGACAGTTTACAGAGATGTGGATTGTTGGCGGTAGGGGACCCAGTAAGAAGACTAGCACTGTCCCAGATGCTGCCTATGTGACAGCTCGGTATGAATTTCAGAAAATTAACAAACACTGATTATATGCCTTCTCATGTATATGGTGATTTAAATTGTGTGTAGACTTGGAAGGGTTGATGTAGCTGTATGTGTGTTAGTTAACAAATGCATCACTTCACAAAGTTAAGGAGCATTGACGGTAAC